TACAAAATGAGGGTGGTGACACACTGGAACAGGTTGCCCAAGGAGGCTGTGGATGCCCCATCCCTGGAGGCATTCAAAACCAGGCCTGATGGGACTCTGAGCAGCCTGGTCTGGTGGTTGGCAACCCTGCACATAGCAGGGGGTTGAAACTAGACGGTCATTGTGGTTTTTTCCAACCCAGGCCATTCTATGCTATGCTTCTTAGAAGGGTACAGGGAAAGGAATGCACAATTTTTTATATTTTCATCTCCAAACCTAGGAACTTTTCAGACAAGGTAATGCCTCGCATGACATTATCAATAAGAACTACCAGTGTAATGCTCTTTAGCTAAAATGTTGAACAAATTGTGCATATTAAGCTCAAGCAGGAAATGCACAGCTTCAAGCACTTGCAGATGAAAAGCATCCTGCCTATTCCATCCTGATGGATGCGTATTTGGAAATCCATCTGTTTATTTGCTTCCCTTCCTCCAAGATCAGAGTGACAACGTAGTTCCAAACCCTCACCCACACTCACAAACTCTGTTCCCATCTTGACATTCCATCACTGCATTTGCTCTGTTCAGGCTTGTACTCATCCTCCCAAAGCTCAAGATAGTTTTCAAACGAGCCTTCAAAAACTTGCTGTGATCCCAGTTTTGGCAGACAGCTCTTGTCACATACTTTGTTACTTTGGTCAGAAGTCCCCATCCCAACCAGCCAAAAAGTGAAGAAGAGGAGCAGCCTCCAAATATGGAGAGTCACGCTGGTTTGTGGAAAAGTTCAGCACATTGGCATGCATAAGAATGAAGAGAACTGGAACAAGTGTTAAATAATGCTCCAAATAGAATGTGGTGAAATGCTCAGAACTTCCAACTACTACAGAAAATTGTGAAATGGATTTAAAAAAATCAAACAACTAACATTAGTAAATATAGTAATTAGTCTATTAGTAATACTATGAGTAATTACTATATTACTATATTTACTAATAGTAAATATACTAATAGTATTAGCTCATTAGTAAATATACCCCTATCATGTGTGGTTCTAGCAACAAAAGTATGCTTTAACTCTCTGAAATCATTTCCAATAAAACAAAGTTTAAGCATAAGACCTTACCATAACATTTTATTAAGAGATAGTGAATTTATGCCATCAAAAATGAACAATGAGTTTTTCAATCACACTGGACACTGACTTGCAGGAAAAAACATTTTCAGTATCCATCAACTGAATCTTAAACCAAATCACACAATTTTTTTGTTCATAGTGAAGACTTTCTACTTCTCCTGCTGTTTTCAGGTAGCCTCTCAAAATCCATGCTATTTCACAGTATTGTGTATAGTATAGATTATGAGGCCAATTAGCAGAAGGTCTCAAACTTCAGTAACATTCATCAACTATAATTGGGCCCTTAACAAATTAAGAAACAGTTATTTACGCAAGTCTTTAAATAGAAAAGTGTAAGAATTATCAAATTCTGGAAATACACAAAGGTGGCACTTACATGTCACAAGAGAAGTGAAGACCATATCTCTCATTGGGTCAGTATTTTCTTCCATATCCATAGCACACAGCACCTGTTAGACAACCATTCCCATTCTCTTGTCCTCCATGTTATAAAGAAATGAAGGTGAATTTGATGTTCACCTGTTTGATAAAGGAGTGCTTGAGGCTATACGCCCAAGTGTAGCTGTGTTGCTGTTCCATACAAAGGTTTGAGCTATTTTATTCATTCTTAGGGAACTCTCATTCCTGCCAGAACCCTTTTTTAATGTCTGCCATGAACAAAAGAGTATAAACTTTGACCTCGTGTACCTTGGAAAATAATTTGTGATCTCACCATGCTACCTTGCAAATTAAAATATCAAATTGTGGTAACTTTTGAATCCTAAAATATTGGAGCACTATTAAATATTGGAGTATCTAAAAGGAATCAAAACTATAAACTGCATAAATACTTTAAATTGCTTTCTGTTACACAAGTTTAATGACTTCCTTTACAACAACATGCAAACCCTCCTTAAAAACAGGGCACTGAAGAATGCTTATTGAAATGCAATTGCTATGCAGGAGACTTCCCTTTTAAAAAAACAATTGCCTTTTTTATGTTGTGCTTCCGCGTTCTTTAAAAATAAACACCAAGTAATCCACAGTTAGCAAAATATAAGTATATTTAAGCTATGAATTGTAAGTTTATGTAATAAGCTGCTTTAATGGGAAAAAACTTCTTATTAGGAAAAAGAAAACTCTCATAGCTGGAGAGCTGGGAGCAGTTCTCCAAGGATGCCACAAGGCTCCTGGCTTTTTAGACAAACCTTTGGCCTCAAAGAGGCAGATTTTCATAATGTGTTGTAGAAGCCCTTGGCAAATGACATAATATTCATTAAATTTAAATGGAGACGCTTGATGTTTTCTGTAAAGATGTCCCAGGGAGTCAATTTTCAAGGAATTCATAATGTAAGCAGCAAGTTATCGGAGAAGGAGACATTCATCACCTCGGAAGGCTCCAAATGAATCATTTAGAGAAAGAGGTGGCATGACACATTTCGGCACTTTCCTTGTGGTCTCCACGAGGCCCTGTGCCAGACACACACCCCAATAACAAGAGAGGCAACCTGGGCAGCCACGTGCTGCAGGCACTGCACTTCCTCAGGCACTTTCTACTTTCCAATAGAAGTGCTTAGTTTAATCCTTAAAGTTAATGCTACAACGTCAGAGGGACTGAAAGAGCAGAGGTGACAAGAGCCTGAAGCTCTTGGCTTCTGCCTGACATCTGCCTCACACCTAACGGTAGCTAATCCATCTGTTAAACTCCCATTTTCTTTTCTTTTTTTTTTTTTCTGGGTTTCACCCTGACACTGATCCTGCTTGCAAAGGAGAAGTGAACAAAGCATCCTATTACAAAAAGAATCTGCCGCATGCTGGGCAAACAGATCCTTTAAAATCAGAATCCTGCCCTACCAACTTCAGCTTTCTGTTGTTGGGTTGTTCCTGTGTTGTGAGCTTTTTTTCTCCTTTTTTTTCTCTCTCTTTTTTCTTTCTTTCTATTTCAGCAGTGAAATCTACCCAACATTCCTTCTACATGGTTCCTCTTCACCACACAGCAGATGCACAGAATCACAGACTCATAGAATCATGAGTTGAAAGGGACATTTAAAGGCCATCTGGTCCAAGCCCCCATTCAGTGAACAGAGACACCCGTGGCTCCATCAGGTGCTCAGAGCCCCATCCAGCCTGACCTTGGGTGTTCCCAGGGGACAACCACATAGCACCCACCACACCTCCTTCTTCTAAGTCTGAAGCAAAGGACCATCCCAAGGAAGTTCCTTCCCTTTGAAATGTTGAGCTTTGTTTAAATATAATGTGCCCAGAAGATTTTTAAGAAGCTTACTTTTAAACTTGCCAGCATTTAGGTATGGAGAGTACTTCTCTGTCGTGAGTATCAAAGCCTGATCTATGTTGCCACACGGGTTGCTGCCTGGGCTGCATTAGAAGCATGGTCAGCAGGTTGAAGGAGTGGTCTGGATGGGGCTCTGAGGACCTGATGGAGCTGCAGACATCCGTGTTCACTGCAGGGGAGTTGGATCTGTTGGCCTTTAAAGGTCTCTTCCAACTCAAACAATTATACGACTCTATGCTATAAATCCCATTGTAAACCCACTACAAAAATCTCCACAGACTAGACACTGGTACGCAGGATGGAATGTGCTGATACTTACATAAGCACTGCACAGACAATGTCCTCACTTGGTCTGTGCTGAGCGTGGTAGCCTTCCATCATCACTATTCAATATACAGAACAGACAAGAGAGTTATAGCTTCCTTTAAAAGATAGTCTTACTCCTCTCCCACAAAACAGCACTAATACAAAATAATCCAACGTTTAATTTATTAATGTGGAATGAGAGATGAGATTTGTTCTTCATCATGATTATTTATAGCTTTACTAACACATCCAGTGTTATACAAAAGGGCAATGTATCCCAAGTGAGCTTCAGCCAGACCTTGCGCAGCGCTCCCCTAACAACAGATTAAACAAAGTAAGAAAATGAAATCCTGACTTTTCATCTGTACATTTTCAAAAAGAATTAACTAAATAAGTTTAATATGTATATATCTGAAGAGAGACAAATCGTTTTTAATGGTCCCTCTTTGTTTACGTCTAAGTATTTCAATTGCTTTTTAACTGCTAGTCTGTATTTAAAATACCCTTTAAAAACTGTTATCACGGATTAGAAATGTTCAATAGTGAAAACTTGAAAACCAAGTCCATGCTGGGAAAGTGGGAAGCTGCCTAATCAAGCTGGGATCTTACACCATCAATAGAAGTACAGTTGGTATCAACTAAGCAACATCATGCTTCTGAGGCACAGAAATTGCACTGGATCCATTTTCAAATGGGCAATGGACCTGAGAATGAAGTCACCATCTGCGAATTACAGATGGAAACTGGCTTTCAGTACACAGCATGATGCTTTCAGAAACCTCCCTTCCTCCTCCACCCTCATTCCTTGTCCACTCACCCATTAAGAAAGCTGCAGACAGAAAGACATAGGGTAACATAGGTGATGGAGATCTGCAGAACCAAGCACGTGTAAGTACACATACATCTCAAAATTTGACTCTCATTTTCAACAACCATCCTGTTTCATGATACCTGAAAGGGAAGAACCCATTCTAAGCCTCTTGTCAAGCCCATAGCAATATGACAAAGGACTCTGCCATGATGGCAGAGCAAGGAAAGGAACTGCATCCAACCAAAATTCAAGCCTCCTCAAGGGACTCACTGAATTACACCTAAAATTCTCCTCCCGAGCATCTGCTATCCTAACAACTACTGAAGAGATTAGAGGCTTCCTTTGTTGGCTGCCCTGTATTTAGAATTGCCCTTAAGGAAACAGCATTCTCGAAGGCTGAGACTCTCAAAAGCATGGTTCTCACAAACACATACAGAAGTGGAACTTAGAAGTTACATTTTTTGCAAATGCAGATTAAGATCGCAATTCAAACAGTACTGTGGTAGTGCATTGTGGTGCTTTATTAGTGTTAGACATGCAATATTGTTTTAATGGACAGAAATTAAAATACTGAGATAACATTGTAATCAAATTAAAGAGCTGAAGTTGCAATAATGAAACAAAAATAAAGTTTTTTCATGCATCCTAGGTTTATAGTTCTCACATGTGCATATAGTTGTGATTCTGTACCATTATTAAATGTAGACAAAGTACCATTGATTGCACAAGACAAAATTAACCCCTAAGGTAGAAGTAATGTTCAAATCTTTTACAGACTTCCTATATAACCTGGATCTTCAGCTTTTTACAGCGTATCATAATACGAGACACCTGGAAGCTTCTAAGATGAATAGGAATGGCTCTATCACTTGTAATATACAGTGGCTGATGAACAAATTGTGAAAGGCAAAGTAAATGCTCTCTATGCTATAGGAGATTGTGACTTCTTCCAACAGAAACAAATCTCAAAACCCTTCATAAACAGATTAAAGTGCTACCTATTGCATATTAAATACTTCCAGTGCCTGTATGCAGATTTAGAAGCTATAAATTCCTGAAAATAGTGTCTCAAACTGAAAGTGCTGACAGACCCTTACATCTAGCATCATGAATGCAGCAGCACTAGTATCCTTCATCACGGACTTCAAAGAGAGGAAGTTAGGCAACATGCTTCACATATCACCATTTTAAAATCACAGAGCTAACACCTCTATCATAGTTAACAGTAATGGATACATAAACAGCAAAAAAGCATACTTTACATACTTAATATAGGACAATATTTTTTCTTTAAAGCTGGAAGTGTAAATAAGCCTCCAGTGCAGCAGTAAACATATTAAGACAACAGTTGTTTTTAGATGCATCTAAGAAAGGGCATCCTCTAGAGAAAGAAATGCAGACTAGTACCTAATGAGCCTGAGTTTCATTAGGTCCCCACATCATAAAGCCTTTCTAAATGCAAGGCAACATTTTCACAGCTGGAAAGTTACAAATAGTTCTTGATACAGAGCCAACAGCAATAAATGTAGCTATGTATAATCTAGGGAGAATGCTACATTCATTAGTAGGTGGAAAACCAAGCTAAACATAAAATACAGCAGCACGAGGTAACGTATATAAATATTAAACATCCTTCTAGAACGGTAGAAAGTAAATGTTACTTACAAAACTAAAATACAGCCTTGATATTTGTTCTCTGAAGTAAGGAAAGTACACTGCTATGAGCAGAGATGTTTCAAAGGAGAATTTCCAAGTACAGGGTGGCATGGATGAACTTTCATTCTTATTTTTGACAGAAGAGACCAAAATATTGTGCCCCAAATTCTCATCCCCACATTTCACAGGGCAAGAAAGACTAATTGTAAGTGGCAAGTTATTATAATTTTTAAATGATCTGTCAGAGAATTTATAATTTCGTCCTACTGGAGAAACAGGACTGACTTTGTTTTCAGCATATAAATCACTCTGTATGAAGTGTTTTCATTTGAAAGCTGCATGCTCCATCAAATACAGGTGGGATGAAGGTGCATTTCAAAAACAGTCTCAAAAATATAGAAAAATGTTAAAATTTTCATTTTAAACAGAAAATGACAGGTGTGCAATTTTTCCAAAATTGCCCCAGAAGAGCTTGTATCTTTAGCCATAAGAACTCCATATAAAAATTCAGAGTTGAAATTCCTGTCTCTTCTGGTAACTTTACCTTTTCCTAAATTGCATTTGTCGTTCTCCTCTCTTTCTTGATATACTGCTGGAAACAAAAGGTGCATTTATTCACTCACAGATCAGATAAAGACGAGATAGCGCATTCAAAGCTTCACTAAATTTCTTCACTAATGCACAAAAATTGATCTTTTCGCTACCTTTAATCTGCTTATCATTCTTGGTATGCAAATATGTCAAATGATCTGCTTTTAGTCAATTATGCAGTTTGATATTCTACATTTACATTCTAAAAGGAGTGATTTCAGAGGTGCTAAATATAGTAGAGTTTCATTTTAATAATTATAAGTTGGCTTGCAAGTGAAAAGTCATTGGAGTGTATTTACTTGTTAAACCCCACTGGTGTGTATGGTTTAATCATTATGGATACTACACATTGTCTCATGTGTACCAGTTAGTTTGAAAATGACTGCTGAATTCAAAACAATTGCACAACTCTTCCCCATTAACAATATGAGAAAACCACTTGCCTTAGCCAAACATTGAAAAATGTTCAAGAACTTGCATGGAAATACTGAGTATCTGAAATACATCTTGGTGTAATTAGGAAATTAAAATGAGTGCAAAACCTAACTTCCAACAGTAAATGTACCATAACTTTGTATATAACCTTTGGCACTTTGAATATATTACAGCAAATTTACAGTCATACAGACCTTAAGTGGGTCAAAAAGACATTCACGTGGTTTACAAGGTACAGAACTGGATAAATCTTTTGGTTGTCAATAGAAAAATCACTTGATGAAGTGGGCCTTTGTCTCAAATGACTAAAGGGCTTGCTGGAATTGTTGAGGCTTCATCCAGGCAAAATGACCTACACTGGTGGATCCCAACACAGGGCTGAGAATGCTCAAACTGCATGAATTTTAACACTAGGGTGTTGGGAGATAGCTCCTAAAAATGGGAGGAAATAAAAAAGAATGAGCGTGAAAAGAAGGAGAAAAGAATAAAGAAAAAAAAGTAAGAAAATGAAATGTGGGATTGATTGTTCCAAATTATTTTTTGTCTAAGAAGCATATTCCTTTGCTGTCATATAAAACTAACATTGTCAAAAGTATTCAGACAGAAGATCCATTTCATCTCTTCCAGATAATAGTTATTTAAGATAATACTAATCTTTGTTGCTTTAAAAACAAAAATACAGATTTTTTTGCAGCACGAAAGAAAAGGAATTTTAAGCTTTTTTCTTTCTCAACAACAGCTATTACTGTTGTTATGTAAGAAAACAGATCAGGTGTAGAAAGAAAAGAAGAGGTGGAAAAGACAGTCATTCTTTCAAAATCCAAATCTCAAATATTCTCTGTACCTTTTTTTTTTTTTTAATACTTTCTTACTGTTTCACAGCAATAGACAATCCAACTGAGGCTCTTATGAAGAAATTAAAATCTACCTATGTTAATATTGTAAGGATTCTTCTCCTACAGTATTTTCCCTTAATAATTTCATCACCGTAGCCATTTTATTGAATAACAGGTATCCTTTTCATCTGCCATCTTACAATTATTAAATGATCAGGAAGACATTTACAACATTCTTTCATTTGCCTCAATGAGAACTGACTTTCAAAGTACTTATAAAGAATACAGACCTTTTTAAAAAAATAAAATTAAATTAAATCTGTTAACCTAGACATGTTTCAGCAACACAGCCTATTTCTAAAGGCTTATATTTTGTTTTCATAAGTTTAAAAAAAACCTAGGAGATATATATCATGTTAAACTCAACCTTAAATTGAGTCAGTTCTATATTTTCAGAATTACCATGTCTTTTTAATTCAGTTCTGTTCATTTTACTGTAGCAGACCTTGGCTGAACAAAGTATTCTTACCTTGTTCCAACTTTTCTCCCATCCTACTTCTGACTTGATTAACACTGTTCAAAGTACTTTTAACGTATAAAAAAAGCATGCAATAACTTCATACAAAAAGATCTGCAAAATAATCCCATGTAATGAGCTTGCCACCAAAGTTCAATCATTGTACACAAAAAATCTGCATTTAAGTATAAATTCATTCCCACATGTGCCATTAGTGAAATGGCATGGTATTTTTCACATTGCCATACAAAAGCATACTGCATACAGTACAGCATTTACTCTGCAAAGATTGTGCATCACTGTTTTCCTCTACAATGTGTAAAACAAACTGTATTCCATTGCAAAAAGCCACATTTAGATTCGACACTGGCTTGAAAACAGTGGCCTTAATGGCATGCCATAATACCAGAATTGACATATTTGCATAATATTAATTATCAGTCAAGAAAACATTCAAAACAGCACAGGGGATCCCAGCTGACGCTGCATGGACAGTGTGGACACAGACACTGCATTCATGTGTGTTATTTACTCTACAGTAAATATGCTGCAGCGAAACAAACTTATTCAGCTAACCCAATGAAGTACCATTTTGGCAGTACCTGCTAGTGTCTGGAGTTAAAAACAAACAAAAAAATCAAATAACAACACAAAAAACTATGCCGCAGTCCCATCCTTCCAATGTCTGGAATTTTTTTTAGAACAAAAAGGAATGAAAAGAAGTCAAAATGTTGAAATGTTATTTCCTTCCACTACCGTATTCAGCAGGAAGTACCACCAAGTGTCTCCATCTTAGCTTTTGGAGAATTTGCCAGCTTTTCGAGAAGGTTCATATGGCACTCTGAGAATACTGGGTGTTTCTTCCATCACTCGTACAAGAAGATTATCAATGTAATCCTCAAGTTCACGAATATGGCTGTCCTTCTTCTTAAGCTGCTCTTTATGTTTCAGCAGCTCCTGTAAAACCTCTTCATAGGTGAGGTTCCGGTATCCTGCAGTGGCATCAAAAGGATTTCCATCCTACAGGCAGGTTTAAAGAAAACAAAACAAAAACCATCAGATTTCATTAAATAGTTTTCTGAACTGAACAGGTTGACAGGTTGCTTTTCATATATTTCTCATGTGCACCTCTGACATAGGACATTTTTCTTATATTATATTCATCCTCTTTTCACTCTAGAGCTTTTCCCTCCAATATCCCTCCTGGAGCAAACAGCTGGCGATACGTTGCCCAATTTGAAATGTTTCCCACACTAACACATCAGAAAAAAAAACCACACTGTTCTCAGAAAGATGTGCACACATTTTGTGAACATCTGAGCAGTAACCCCAACAAACTGTTAGCGAGTCCTTTTGGGAAACCCACTATAAGGTAACATTAATTACAACAGAAAAAGAGCCCTGAGAATTCCAGTCCTACCGTAACTTTCCTGAGTTCTCATCTTTAGAGAATATTATAGCAAAACATTTACTTAGCTTTAAATGACATCAGCCCTCATCTGTCTTTCATATTCTATTTTTAGTCGCCAGCAGCTTGCCAGGCCTTGGCCTCTGAAATATACATTACAACTTCCAATTTTACATTTCAGGTGAAGTTAAGAAGACCAGAGTACTTAAGGCAGAAATGTGTAGTGCTAGAACACATTGCTGTGTTGCTGCCTTCAAAGCACGAAGGGCACAGACCTAAGCAGCAGAGGAAACAGCAGTGTTTTGCTATCGATTTCTGATGACTCTGGATGCAGTTATCACCAAAGATGGGAAAATTGGTCCCTGTAAGAAAGGTCAGCATGCAAACCAAAACACTATAATGTCCTATTCTATGTCAAGAAGATACAGCTGAGGTCTTCACGAACCAGATAATGAAATATTTGGCAATTTATAATTTAGAAAAAGATAGTTTCTTCCCATACAGCTCCATACTGACACGTTGGCATGTCAAATCATTAACACATGCAGGTGCCCAGAGTTTTCAGTAAAGCCTTGTAAGAAAAGACGGAGCACTGCAAACGGGCTGAAGTACCACAGATGAATCAGTCACTCTCCCTCAATTAGATTTTAATAGCAGCTCTTCAAATTAGGTGCTTTTAAGGATTTCTCACTGCATTTGAGATGTTTTGTAGCACATTCATGTACGTGTATTTAGTATTTTGAACTTCTATTATCAAGTTACAGCATTTTACACGATCAATAAGTCCCATTTTATAAAAATGCCTACCTTGATGAAATCCATAAATTGGTTACCAATGGATTTCCAACAAGTAGAGAAGAGAAAATAACTTTACTTTGTGGTCATCCTATTTTTAGCACATTCTCTTCCATAAGAAGGAAGCTAAATTTTATCTTCAAAGAATTAGGGATTTAGGGGCTTTTTTACACACTGGAAAATAAATTAAGACTTCAATGTACAAAATACAGAGTTTGCTTAATTTTCTGATTTGGCAAAGGAAGAGGAAAGAATATGCAATGATGTTTTTAATCATTATATAAAGTTTACTGGAAAATCATGTATAATACATATGCTTTAAAGATGTTTTGCCACACATACGCTTTCTACAGATCTTCTGTGTGAATAACTTATCAAATTAAACACACAAGAAAATTCTACAATGCTTTTTGTATTTAGAAATAGATACTGCTAAAGGAAGGAGGATTTTAAATGTCCAGTTTGAGTAAAGGGTACTTAAATGCCTATATCCTTCCTGAAACAGATACTAAAAATGTAATATAATACATGAATCTTATGGTAAAGTATTAAAGAACACGTTGCAAATAGTGAGTTTGGAAAGAAGTATTGCCTCAGCTGTAAGATGTTATTGGGGCACAGACTGACAACCAGAGGAGATGGAGGAAGAGGAGTCAGACAAAGCAATGCCGTGGCAATCTCTGATCATCTCCATATTGTTCTAATGAGGAATTCTACTCTGGGAATATAATCTACACTCCTTTCATATCTTTTGTCCTACTTACTTCATCCTCCATTCAGTTCTTAATTAGGCCTTAAAGAGCTCGTGCTGCCCTTTCAACTGGCTACTGCTCCCATTTAAGCAGTGCTGTCAGAGACAGGTGTTGGCACCAGAGTAGGAGACACACAAACATAATTACTCAATGCGATGCGCAAGGAAGAAATGCAATGAATTGGTGAGGCCTATTATTGCAAAACCTAATCATAAATTACTTCAAACACCTCAGAAAGCAAACTGGAATATTTAAAAAAGAAAATCCAAATGGTTTCATTCGAAACTATGGTTGCAATATATTTTCTTCTCCTAATTTGTATTTTATATTAAATGAGCACCACCTCATAATCCTGCAGCTGACATTTAGAATAGCTGCTATTCCAAAAGAAAAATCATCAAGGATTTCTTTTATCACCTTTAAATCCTTTAAGTAAAACAATTCACATATTATTTCTTAAAAGAATTATAACGGCGCTTTTACCAGCAATAAATTACACCATTTCCAGTAGCACATTTGCAAGCACACAGAAACTGTAATTATGGTTACTTTACAGACAATAGCTGCAAAGTTAAATCAATTTTTTGATGTTGTGTTTTGTCAGAGATTAAGTAACCGCCTGGTAGAATTCAGTTTACTATCTGATCAAAGGCAGCATTCATACACGCTGACATCTCCCACCAGTTACTTGCATTAAAAAAACTTGGGTGTTTATAATAACATCAAATATTATTAAAAGGCATTTACATAAACCAGCAAAAGCAAACAGTACAAAGTCATATTTTCCTGTGAAACTTGTTTTCTATATATTGTAAAGATTGAAAACAAACCCACTTTTAAAGATTTGATCTACTCACAGAATAAATTTGAGTAAGACCACATTTTCTTCCAAACAAAGATGCTGCACAGTCCATCTGTGGAGCTCATTTTCTCTTTTCTTCCTAGTACACACTTTTAGGTACTCTTACAGTAAAAGAGTATTTTGAATAATAACTTTTAGTATTTATTTCTATTTTAAGTGTTTTCTGCAAGGCTGCTCATTTATTATATTTATGATGAATCCTGCCATGTATCAGCTCGTTACTTCCATTTGGATTGGCCATCTAAAAATGCTCCTCCAGTCTCAGAGCCTGGCAATAGAAAACACCTGTGATGATGGCTAATGGGCAGCTGCCTAGTGCAGGGCTCTCACCTGACTGCATTCCCCTAGAGCTATCTGCTATACCTCAGTGTTTCTTGTTGCTCTCCCTATATAGATCTAATTTTCCCTTTGTTTTCTACATTGTAATACTAGAGGTTATCCAAATATTTTTCACATTGAGTATAGAACTCTTCTTTATTTCCAAGTTTATTTCAGTTTTCTTATTTTCCAATTAGATTTTCTGGACATATGAATAGAAGGCAAGACAAAATCACAGAATCATAGAATGGCTTGGGTTGGAAGGGACTTCCAGGATCATTACATTCCAACCACCCTGCCACAGGCAGGTCTGCCAACCTCCATACCTAAAACTAGATCAGGCTGCCCAGGGCCCCATCCAACCTGGCCTTGAACACCTCCAGAGACAAAACAAACAAGCAACAAGCATTTCCTTATAAGAAGTTAAAAAAGAATACTAGCTCATATTGTATTGGGCACCGGTTAGTTGGTATTTGCTGATAGCTTTCCATAACACTTCACAACTCACCATTGTTTTCCTGAGGTCCTCAGTGCCAGAAGGATTCACGTTAAAACTGTGGAGGAAAAACAAACAAACATCAACTGTGCACACATATTTGACCAAAACTTCTACTAGAAATTACTACTGAACTGAGGGTACTAGGTGCACAAGGTATTTATCATGATTTATTTTCCTGACTTGTCAAACTTTGAATAACTAGTACAATATTTGAAATCAGTGGGAACTTTCATATATTCTCCATCCACAATTTTTGATATCCTTCTGTCATAAAATCAGAGTAAGCAGTGTAAAGATATTACAGATTGGGCTTCTCCAGCAATTTGATTATTTCTAGATGTATTTTATACTTCTAAGTATAAAAGAAATACTTCATATGAATTATTCTGGGAATAGATTCTGGGATGAGGTAGTTAAAATAAAAACACAACAACAAAAAGGCTAACATTCATTGCCAACTTTCATGGAAGCTGCCAAAGGAAAAAGGTCCTTTGAGAAATTCCACTGAGGTCACCAGGTTCAGTTAGAACTAAAAAGTTACCTTGTATTAACAACATTTGCTTTATGCTTACAATTGAGTTAATAAGCTATTATTTTATAAACTTAGTGATTATCCCACATATTTGAAAAGCAAAGCTATTTCATGATTCTGTTGTGCGGAGATAATTTTCTTCCTCAACTGCAAAAATGGCAGTAGATATTGATAAAAGCAGCCATTGTCAAAGTGTCAGACCCAAGAAACAGACACTGTCCACGGAAGTTGATGTAATTATTTGCAAGTCTCCTCAAAAAACATTGCTGCCATGTCTCATGTACTTGCTAATAAGTTTTGAGAGAAAATTAAGTCTTAGAGAAAATGTGATCAGAATTTGGATATGATTCACCAATAATACTTCCTTGGTAGCACCACAGTAGGTATCATTCTTTCACATCACAAAACCTACCATTTACTCAAGTTGCATGTATTGGCTGTCAAAGACAATCTCTGTTGACAGAGCTTCAAGAAAACAGAGCTCTGTGCCTGGTTGCACCAAACTAGTAACAAGCTCCTATGAATGCTATGACAGGCATTCAGAAGTTCATTTCTTTCCTATTTTTCAGGCTAGAGAATCTCATCGGCCTAGAACTAATGATTAATTCTATAGTCAATAAGCTGATACATGAATAAAAAGAAATTAGTAAAAAAATACTGCAATCTACGGTTGAAAGAATAATCTGGAAAGCACAAATTGTACACTTTTTTTTTTTTTTTAATTTTAAAGTTGGCTTGAAGTAAAAAGTACGTGTCTTGTGTCCATCACTCTTTGATACCTGAAATTACAAGCCATCCATTTCATGGCGTAAAAACGGAAGAGACATAACATACAAACTGGTGCTTTACTATTATTATTTATGATGTCCTTTTATTTTGTTTCAAAAATAGTCTTTTGCTTATATACGGAAGTCCAGAGAACCCTCTGCTAGACCGAGGACATTAGAGGAAGATTGGATTACATGAACAGAAATAAAAAGGCGTCTGAAGACTCAAGGTCTGGCTGACTCCCATTGTACCTGTTTGTAACAGCGATCTGAAGCACTCTGCCTGGAGTTTGCTGGAGAATAGTTTTGAATGAGGGGCTGCATTCATCAGGTATTGTCTAAAAAGCAAAAGGCAGGAACTCTCCCTCACGGTCTGCATTTTAGTTTCACACTGATGTGTCAAACACATGATGAACTTGCTTCATTCATGGCTGCCTTTTGTGATCCGAGAAAAAAAAAATGAGTTAACTGAACTGGATCAAATTAGCTTGGTGAAAACCAAGAATGTCTCTATTTAACAAAGTGTGGCGTTAATTTGGGATATCTTTCTTTTGGGACTGTTTCCTCATGTTAGACAAGATATAGAATAATACGGCCTGACTGCTCAACTGAGTGAGCTTCTGAAAGGTTAAAAAAGCAAAATCTTTCATTGCGCTGAATGACTTTCTGTGCAATAAGTTCTCCCTTACACAACAGCTGCTTAAAAGAAAAGTTCTGACTATGAAAAGTTACATTTGAAAATTAGAAATATAAATCACTAGCAATACGGATTAATCTTTTTTTCATCTAAAAACTCAGCAGTCACTTCTGTAACATTGTAGACACACTGTAACTGCAATTACAAAAGAGCACATCTGCGTATTTCACATGAAGTAATCTGAATATCCTTGCAAAAAAACCCCCAAAAAACTATTAAACGAAATATTCACCAATAAAACCCCAACCCTATGAATACTCATATTTTAGAGAGATATGAAGAAATATACTGCTTCTCAGCGAGGCAGGAAGAAACAGGTGCTGGGACTGCATACAGCATGTTTAAGTCAGCCTGTCCAACCAACGTGGGAGCTCTGCAGCCCCGCCGAGCCTCGCAGGGTTTCCTGCCAGCTCCTCCAACCCGAGGTGAATGTGAGCCGTTGCAGACTCTCCCAGCTGCACCCATAACTCACTGTCCAAGAGCCCTGTAATACCTTGAAAGAGCATACTGTAAAATTATAAATGCATGCAGTTGGGGGGAGTTGCAGATAATGAGTTGGGTTTGTTTTGTTTTTTTTTTTAATTTAAATTTCATCGCAACAATACATCCCTGATGTTATTGCTTGACTTGATCATTTCATTACTTACATAGATTACAGAAAACACACCTCCAGCACTAACAGAACATGAATTGCACAAACGTGGTGCTCAGGGACATGATTTAGCAGAGGGTTGTTAGAGTTAGGGTAATTTGGTTAGGCTGTGGATGGACTTGTGATGATCTTTAAGGTCTTTTCCAACCTGAGCAATTCTATGAGTCTGTGATTCTTCCAGGAGCCCTTTGCTTGACTCTGTAAGAGCATTCTGAATTTATCAATCTAAGAAACTACATAAAATCATGTCATTTTTTAACTGTGTTACAATCCCAGCACATAGCCTAGTTATAGGCCTGTCTCTGTTTTTTCCCCAGGGCTTGATAAATTGGCAAGAAACTTTTGCTATGGAAGCATAAAAATATGTTCACAGCTTGAGAAAAAAATTTCTTTTTGTTTTTAGAGAGCAGTTCACTGTAAAAGTGACTGTAAAAATCTGGCATCGCGGGATTTTATAATTACTGTTTCACAATTATGCCCGAACTAAACTCTCTCAGTGTACAAGTGAAAAGATGTTTCTTTTCTAACAAACAGACATTCTGCCAACTGCCCCTGAGAACTGAAGTCCAACTGGGTCTCTCTGGCTCATGCATCCTCATTAACGCTGTGTAACTGCCAGGTGTTACATCTGACCCCAGTGCCTGCTCACTGACTGTATCAGCCAACCTACACAGACTGGCCTGTCCACTCCTCTTCCTGCTCACTGAGAAGAGTTTGTCTACCTTCCTACCCCCATTTCCTTAATCAACTCAAGGAATCTGGTGACCTTCTATCTGTTCTGCTAATCCAGACAGGTTGGGAAACCTTTCTCCCTCCCTACTGTTGTCCATTACCAGACTCATGTGCCTCTCGGTCACATCACAGGTCTCACATCAGAAGGTCTGTGGATCTTCCCTTACAGCTAATAAACTCATTCACTCTGAGCACCCTTAACAAATTCAGGAACTAACACAAGGAGGTGAATCACATCAGCAAGCCTGAGGTTGGAGAAACAAACTGCAGAGATCATAAGGTGGTTGACCAAGCGAGCCACTCAGCTCCTGCATCCCCTCTAAGCAACCAGAGGTAAAACAGACTTACCTGGTCTAGCACGGAAGTTAGTCATGCCCCCATTTCACTCATCTGGAATCCAATTATTTTCCTTAAGAGTTCCTTCATATCAGTTATTTTTACCAAGCTAAAACCTATCCTTTTTTTTATTATTATTACAATTGTTTCTTTACATTTTTCACTGAACAGTAAAAGCTCGTTAGAATTTCTGGGGTTTACTAGCTTGGATTTCAACTTTAGTACGTGAGATGAGAATGCTTCCCTGCTACCACGTTGCTGGGGGAAGAAAAACAATGAAAAATACATCTACTATAAAATTATATTGGGGACAGACATACTATAACTGATTCTGCACAGCGTTTTGGATGACTACTTCATTATTATAACTATATTGTTTTCTACTTTCTTGTTCTTTTCCTTAGTTAAATGCATTTCATTAGAACAACAAGAAGCTCTCACGCTTCTTTCCTAACACTGACTTTATGAGGCAGTTACATTCCTAGCTGATTATCTGCAGTTTGTGTAGAAACATCAGTGTAGTGGAAACACAGCAGAAATGGTGCGCAGGGAAGCAGCTCAGGTGCCAAGGTGAAGCACTACAGCACTGAGCACTGGGCTGGTAAATCACCATCTGAATTACCTTTTTTTAAGATTAAATGAAGCTCAAATATCACAAGCACCGGTTTACAACTGGAGTTTGTAATTTTGTCTCCTGAAGCCGACTGGTAGTTAAAAATTCAAACATTGGATCTTGTGGCTGCTTAAATATTTAGCTTCTAAATGCCTAAAAATTAAAACCATGTTTGAAAAAAAATCTTTCCTATAACTGATTTAAACATTTTTAGTGCCTGAACCATTTACTCTGACAACATAATGAATGGGAGTCAGATTCCACTATGCTGTATGGAAGTCATATATTCCTAAGGAGCAAAAGCTTTTTACTTATCTTTCATTCCTCACAGCAGTTATACGATCACTGTATTGGATGGTATTAGAAATTAAAGCTAGGAAATTTACCTTAACATTTAATATTCAAAATACTGAAATCTTCTTTGTTAACTTGACACCTTGAGAAAATATCCAGTGTACTAGCTGGCTCAGTATGAGGCTTTTCTTTTATAGAAATAATACCTGTGCAGGTAATTAGCAAAGCTGTACCATGATTCTTTCTCTTCCTAATTCTTGGTCTTTGCACTTACGATTCTTATTATATTGCTTATGATTTTTTCTTTGGATTATCACTACACACACCAGAAACCAGAAATATTAGGATACAGTTTAAGTTATTACCAATCTAACAGAAAAACAAAAGAAATGAATAAAATTGCATACGGTTAATGAAATTCAGAAATTTAGT